TCATTTTCTTCCTATGACAATATGAATAGACTTAGATAGATAGATAGATAGATAGATAGATATGTTTTGTGACATCCGGTGGCCGCTAAAAATTAAGTATAACTCGCGACTTTAATGTCAAATAAAACCGTATTTAATTACAACGGCAAATAAATACTTAACAAGAACAAAGGAATAAAAGCAAACCAAAGATATTCATTTCAGTGAATCCTAAATCCTAAATCAAAACCGAAATCATCGACACACAAAAATTCACACTAATTCGACTGGATAGTTCCACTCAATAGTCACTCAATCATCACTCCAGTCAGTAGCCTGACACCGCTATTTATACACCTAACGGAAAATATATATTCATAAGCCCAGAGCGTCACGCTCGAACCTCGGTGTCGTTAGTTACTCAATTTCTTCCTATATGACAATATGAATAGATTGCTATATATATGGAAATGCTGAAATAGATAGATAGGTTCAAATAGGCTGAGATAAATATATAGGTTCGCATTTCGCCCATGTCACGCTCTTCCCCGAATCTTTGTACAAAGATATATCCCTTGATCTCTGTTTAGGTGTGGGTTTCCGGTTCCCGCGAAAGTCTTTTTATTCTCTTAGTAACCATTGCTTTTGTGGCGTATTGTGGCCGTTAATAATTAAGTGTATCTCAAGACTTCGATGTTAAAATAAAACAGTATTTAATTACAACCGCAAATAAATACTTAAAAAAGAACAAAGTAGTAAAAGTCAACCAAAGATTATTAACCATTTCAGTGAATACCTTATTAGTAGCGCGGATCGGATTAACTTCCGGTAAATCCTAAATCAAAATTCAGATTGTCGACGTACAATAATTCACACTAATTCGACTGGATAGTTCCACTCAATAATCACCCCAATCAGTAGACTGACACCGCTATTTATACACCTGGCGGAAAACATATATTGATAAGTCCAGGGTGTCACGCTCGAACCTCGGTGCAGGTACTTACTAATTTTCTTCCTATATGACAATTAACTTTAAACTCAAGTTAAGAAAAATGAGCATTTTCGAAACATCGTTCTTTTTGGTTTTAATCAAGGTTTTAATGACGCAAATGCTGCTCACGACATTTGTGCTGTGTATGGAATGGATGCCGTAGCTGAAAGAACCGCTCGTGATTGGTATGCTAAGTTCAACAACAGAAATCTTGACCTCAAAGACACATCTCGTTCTGGCCGTCTAGTTGAGATCGATAAAGAGTGATTTTAAACCAACTTTTGCACGAAAATTATCGTCAAACGACAAGGAAACGGGCAGAAAGAAAAAATAGAATGTTCTCACACTGCTATAGAGAAGCCTCTACCCTTGATGGGGAAAGGTTCAGAAGTCTGAAGCGTGGGTTCCGCATGCTTTAAGTGACAACAACAAAAAAACAACGAGCCACAATATCCGCTGGTTTCTTGTTCATCAACGCTCATCTCATGGACACAAGCAAAGATTCCTTTACCAGATCGTTACTTGCGACGAAAAATGGTGCCTTTACATCAATATGAAGCAGCCCAAGGAATAGCTTAGCACCGTTAAACAAGCGACACCACTGGAAAATAAGCGACACCGCGCGTGAAACAAGATCTTCATCCACGTAAAACGATGTTATGCTTATGGTGGGACTGTGAAGGGATTATCCATTAGGAATTGCCTGAACGGAACCAAACGGCCAATGCGGAACTTTATGGATGGAACGACTTAACACAGCTAATCCGCTGTATAGAGTTCTTTTTGCTGCACGACGACACCCGCCCTCATACCGCCAATATGACCAAGGAAGCCGCTCAAACGCATGGCTGGGAAGTGCTGCCACACCCACTGTACTCTTCTGATTTGGCACCAACGGATTTCCACCTCTTTTGATCTCTTTCAAATGCTATGCACGGTGTTTCGTTCAATACTGATGCAGAATTAAGAGCTCGGTTGGGTGAACTTTTCGAGTCGAAACAGGGTGATTTCTACCAACGAGGTATTGAAAATCTTGTTGAACGTTGAGAAGTTGTAAACAACAAGGAAGAATACATTATTAATTTAGTTAATTTAAAGTTAATTTAATTAGTTGTTATTTTATATTATGCCTTGTAAAAATATAAAATAAAAAAAAATTTTGGATTTAGTTGCCAATTCAATATACGTTTAATATATATATATATATATATATATGTAAATGAATTAGAAGGAAACAAAAATAATTTAATTAAATAATTCATATTTCGAGAAGAAAAATTAACAGAATACAGAAAGCACTGGAAAATTGTTTTTCGTCATATACTTGGGACTCATCAGCAGTGTACATCCACTACCGAGAATTGAAACCCGAAAACTTTTAAAAAATCTAAAAATCCGTTTTTGAAAAATTGACATAAAATGTTTCAAAATTTCATTGATATATATATATATATATATATATATATATATATATATATATATATATATATATATAAAAAAGAACATTTTCAGGTTAAAATAGAGGCGACAGTTTGTTTCATGCTATATGTAATCGTCAGGCCTAAATGAAATTATTAAGTGTTGACTTTATGTTCACTTTTATATTCTATATATATCTCTACTCTGATATCGATAACTTTATCCCATAAATAAATATATGTTAAGATTATATTTATATATATATATATATATATATATATATATATATATATATATATATATATATGTAATACTATTAAAACTATACTTCTTCATATATATATGATAATGTTATTAAGCTTATCAGACAATATGAAAAGATTCTACTTAAAAACTTGTCTATATTATTTAATGAAACATGGATCAATATATATATATATATAATTAAGAGGATTTCAAATAATCATACTTAAGTAATCCATCGAGTCTGATAGAATTCTAGAAAGAAAATTCGGATTGCCAACACACAAACAGAATGTCTCATATCGAGAATATTCCACATTGAACATGAAGAAAAATTTATTATTTTTAATAATATGTAAAAAAATCTCCACTTTCACCTGAAGACGGTTGCGAGACCAGACCAGAAACACGTGTCGTGAAATTATGTAAAACAAAGTATAATATTTTTCTCAATAAATCCACATTACAACCAAAAACGTTTGCGGCACCCCTCTTCTTTTTTTAATATACATACTTTTTCTCGTTGGAACCACTACAACATATTTCTTTTATATATATATATATATATATATATATATATATATATATATATATATATATATATATATATATAATGATTGTGTATATATACATATAAGATCTAAACACTATTTTATACATATTTTCTTAAAAAGAATGCAGAAAAATATGAACATTAGACAGTAAATTCACTATTTTTATTGTTGTGCAACAATTTATTAAAAAATTTGAAAATAAATAGGATAAAATTTATTCAGACAGACTACATCATCTGAACTTGATAAAACTTGCTTAAATTAATTTTTACTGTTGAATTTAAAATTAGGGATGTGAGTGATTCCATCTTCGTAGTGGTTTGTGTGAAGGTTTGGGTGGTTGCTTCAAGAACTGAACTGAAGTTCACTTTCAGGAATAGTAAATCAGGTGCTTGTCTCCCGGGTAAAGTGCGTTTGGGTAGAAAAGAAAAGCGGTGCGGCAAGAAGATCGAGAAAAGGTGCGTCAGATAACCGGGTGTCAAGGTAGATAAACCGGTAACTACGAAAGTGGCAAGGTAGATGTCGTTTTCAGATAGATAAAAAATAATATATATATATATATATATATATATATATATATTATATATATATATATATTGGCCAATGAATGAACAAAAGAATTTAACAAAACTGGATAGATAGATAGATAGATAGATAGATAGATAGATAGATAGATAGATAGATAGATTTGTAATGAAACCGACTGACAGACGGACATACAAAAAGCTAGACATAGATTCCTAGATAATGAAATGAACATGCATACATATATACATACAGATAAATAGATATATAGATAGTTAGATAGATAGATAGATAGATGTGAACAGAATGAGATAGATAGATAGATAGATAGATAGATAGATAGCAACAGACCGAGATAGATAGATAGATTTGTAATGAAACGGAGTCAGATCGACAGACATAAAGATAGATACATACATAGATAATGAAACGGACAGACGCACATACATTCAGATAGATAGATAGATAGATAGATAGATAGATAGATAGATAGATAGATATGAACAGACTGCTATTAATAGATAGATATATAGATAAATATGAACAGACTGGGATAGATAGATAGATAGATAGATAGATAGATAGATAGATAGATAAATTCGTAATGAAACGGAGTCAGAACCACAGACATACAGATACATACATACATAGATAATGAAACGGACAGACGCACACACATTCAGATAGATAGATAGATAGATAATGGAATGGAATCCCAAATGTATATATATATATATATATATATATATATATATATATATATATATATATATATATATCAATAGATATGAACAGACTTTCTGAATAGATATATATATATATGGATAAATATGAACAGACTGGGATAGATAGATAGATAGATAGATAGATAGATAGATAGATAGATGTGAACAGAATGAGATAGATAGATAGATATGAACAGTCTCAAATAGATAGATAGATAGGTAGATAGATATATAGATAGATTTGCAATGAAATGGAATCAGAAATAGGCAGATGCATGCATAAATACATACAGCTAGCTAGCTCGCTAGATAGATTAGAACAGATGGGGATAGATTACAATTTTATCCCAAATAGTCAAACATTACTAATTTTAAAAACTTATTAATAGCTATACAAACATATATGACGTCACACATTATGAAATGGACAAAGTCCGACAATTATTTGAAGACATTTTTTATGTTTATACGTTATTTTTTTCATAGATACCAATATTTAAGCAAATGCTCTGTTTATAATAAACAGTATTAACAACATTTACCGGCCTGAATGTCAGAGAAATTCTCATAGAAAATATGCGTCCTCCGACAGGAATCGAACCTGTATCCTATAAGGAATCATCATATAGCCTGACGTGCTTTTACCGACTGGGCCACAGAGGAGCGTTTCGGTTAACAAGGTCGATTTTACTGTTTTCAATCTACAATTCTCCATGATTTTCTCTCATGAATTCATATCTGCTTGATGCGTATCCAAATGTAAACGAATGACGTCACACGTCTCTTCTACTCTAATAGCTTCATGTCTCGCACCTCTCGTCTGTGGAACTCCCTTCACTTTTCCTGTTTCCCTGTGAGCTATAATCTCCAGCTATTCAAGTGTAATGTCAATCGACATCTCCGGTTGCCTTGATCTATCCACTACCCTCATCCTTTCTTCTATCACTCCTATCTGATCTTGCTCTAAATTTTCTGTAAACCCTTGCGTCCTAGTGGCTTCCCGCCTTGCTTGGGGTGAAATGCTTAAAAAAAAAAAAAACAAAAAAAAACATTATGAAATGGACAAAGTCCGATAATTATTTTAAGACATTTTTTTTATGTTTATATGTTCTTTTTATAGAAAAGTAAATCATCTTTTTTGTAATAGGTCGGTAAATATCGTTAATACTGTTTATTATAAACAGAGCATTTACTTAAATATTTGTATCTATACAAAGAACGTATAAACATGTATGTATATATATATATATATATATATATATATATATATATATATATTTAATAATATTTTGAAAATCAGACCAAAGAAAAGGTACCATTACAATAATTTATTTCACCAAAATTTTTTTAAAAGATTCCGGATCATCAGGTAACACTTCCAACAACTTCATTGATGGAGGTGTTGCTTGATGATGGGAATATTAAAAAAATTTTTTTGAAAAAAATTATTGTAATATTTTTTAAAGTGGTCTGTTTAAATTAAATTTATTCTGTTCTTCACATTGAGCTCTCAGGATTTCATCCTCCTTGGATTTACCAATTCGGTTTACCAAGTTCTTATAATTTATATATATATATATATATATATATATATATATATATATATAAACACAGACACAATTTGTTTAAACAACACACACACACATATATATATATATATGTGTGTGTGTGTGTGTTTAATAGATATACATATATATTTATATATTTATATATATATATATGTATGTATATGTGTGTGTGTGTGTGTGTGTGTGTGTGTGTGTGTGTGTGTGTGTGTGTGTAATTAAACTGTGTGTGTATGTGTGTCTGTTGGTGGATAGGTAGGTATGTGTTAATCTCATTGAGATAATGGCAGTGCCTTGTTTGGTCAAAATATAATCATTTGGTATTGAGGCTCTAGTCGATCTGACCAGACATCTGGCCTGTTTGATCCTATGTAAAAGCCGTACGCTCACCAGACTATACGTTCCTCCTCTCGGTCGTACTGACAAGGTCCAAGGAATACAGGACATTATATTTTGGGCCGGTTTAACTGTGGATGTTGACGCAATGTTATTAGTGTTAACACCCAACCGCTTTATGGTTCCCCCCCAGATTTTCTCTCTCTTTACTTCCATATTACTTTTTTTTCATGCTTGTGTACGGTCACAAAGCAGCGTAGGTCTAAAATCAAGGTTTTCTTCTCAGATAGATGGAGCACCTTTTTGGGCTGTAGAGCTCTATCTACCCGAAACAGCTAGTTATGAGGCGCCAGTTTTTTGTCTTCGCCATTCTCCGGCTGTTCATAGGCTATTTGAGACGCATGACAGGGAAGCTTTTCGTAGATAATGGGAGCGTGTTATTACTCTTATAATTCCATCTATCATATATATATATATATATATATATATATATAGTTGTAGATGGAATTATTGGCCGCCCCCACCACCACCACTGAATATTTGCATCAATAGATATTTTTTTCTTTTTTTTTAATTCTTCGTTTTTCGGACTTAAGAATTCGAACGATATAAATTATCAATAATTAATTATAATATTATTGTCAACAATAATGAAGTAAATAAGTCTTAATACACAATATTAAATCATCACCACGAGAACGCGAATGTCATATCAAGTTCTAACGGACTTTTTTTTCGCACCAGAAGATTGCACGTTTGCATGAAACCCCGAGTCATTATGAATATATATATATATATATATATATATATATATATATATATTAGTGATTGGACGAGTAAACGGAGTCGGAATTGAAAATCGGAAATAGCGGAACTTTTTGTCGTATCTGAAATTTCAACCAATTTTGGATTCCAAAAACGATTTTTTTATGTTTTTTTTAAAAAAAAAAACCAAAAAAAACCTTAATTTTCCATTCCTGGTTCTAATGATAAAAAAGATATAAATATTTATTCATTTTAAACTATCATTAAAATTAAAATGTATGCAAAAAAAAAAAAAAAAAAGATGAAAATGTGCAAGTTTCTAATCAGTTTGCATAGAGTTCGTTAGTTTAAAGTTTGTTTCAGTTCAAAATAATTATTTTTATTTTTAATTTCTTTTTAGATATTGTTAATTCACCTATTTCATATTATAAATTATTAATTTAATAATTATTATCAAAACCATGTTGTATAACCGGAAAATGAATTCACGTAATTGTTCTGTTGGGTTCTCTTTTAAGGCTATTTTTGTTAGATTTTTATTTCATAAAAAAGAAAAAGATATGTATGTATGGAATTCCCGCCAGTGTGACATTTGAGTTTTTGACATAAAAAAATTACCTTGTATCATAAACTGTTCTCGTGATGAGGCAGTTAAATTACAACAATTTTGTTTTTCAGAATACTTTTAATCCAAAAAATATTTTTTTAGTTTCGGTAACAGAGACTTAACAAAGTAAACATTTTTTTTATGGAACTTAAATTTTATTCTACGAAATTAATGTATTTCTTAAAATTTTATAGATTTCGAAATGGATTTTTATCTTTATTTACTTACAAAAATAAGAAGACGTTTATTTGAAGTTTCCTTTATAAAAGCTTTTTCAAACAAAAGTTTGTATTAAAAAAAACTTAAAATTTAATTTCCATTGAAAATTCTATTTAATTTTATTTTACTGATATTTTTCTTTAGCATAATTGAATTTTTCTGTTAATTTATTATGGCATTTAAAATATTTTGAACTTTTTATCTCTTTTAATTTTCCACGGAATCAAACGAGATGCAAGCTTTATAAGTAGAAGTGTATAAAAGAAAATTAAAAACTAGTATTTGTATCCCATTTTTATGTGCCGTGATTAAGCTATAGTTTTTCCACTTTTAACAGGATTTGTTTCAATATTTTAAAAAGAAATCTAGTAAAATTTCATGTTCTAAAATTTAAATTTTAACCGATATTATTATTTGCAGACCCCAATAAAACAAGTGTATCTAATGCCAAGCAGAAAGTGTAGTTTACAGGATTTGTTTCAATATTTTAAAAAGAAATCTAGTAAAATTTCATGTTCTAAAATTTAAATTTTAACCGATATTTATTATTTGCAGACCCCAATAAAACAAGTGTATCTAATGCCAAGCAGAAAGTGTAGTTTACAGGATTTGTTTCAATATTTTAAAAAGAAATCTAGTAAAATTTCATGTTCTAAAATTTAAATTTTAACCGATATTTATTATTTGCAGACCCCAATAAAACAAGTGTATCTAATGCCAAGCAGAAAGTGTAGTTTGCAAGTTTTTTTTTAAAAGTATTCTATTATAAACAAAGTAAAGCAATGCCAACTATAGGATTATACTTAAGTAATTTACCTAAACGAATTGTTCTTTTTATTATTTAAACTCTCATACAGTTTACTTTTTTTAAGTAAAAAGGATATCTAACTTTATTTCATAAGCTTTTTATTCATTGTACTATAAAATGTTTTATTAATAAATGGACTTTGTTCATTAAGTTTTCCAAACCAACTTTAGTGTCTGAAAATAATGAGTTATGATCAATGGAGGTATCAGAATCAGTCGTCGTATCGGAATTGGAAATTTAGAAAAGTATATGGAATTGTAACGAAATCGATACAAATATTGGTATCGTCCCATCACTAATATATCATCATCATATATATACATAAATTATTAGGAGGATTTGACAATTATATTTAGGTAATTCAACGAGTCTGATAGAAATCTCAACAGAATGCAGAAAGCACTGGACGGCCGTTTCGTCCTATATTTGGGTCTCATCAGCAGTGCGCATCCAAGAGAATTGAAACTCTGACAGGTTGCCAAGCAAACATCATACAAACTGTTCAACTGTGCCTCGGTGACAAAGAGATTGCAAATCAGACTCAACAAAGCGCCGCTCACTCACATATTCCGTGGTGGAACTCTACCGAGTTCTCTCTAACCATAGGACTGTGCCC